AGGAGGAGGAGGAGGAGGAGGAGGAGGAGCAGGAGGAGGAGGAGGAGGAGGAGGAGGAGGGCGTGGGGGTGCAGGAGTTGTTCGACTTTTTGGAAACGGACACCCCTTTACCACAACAAAACCTACGGAGGGCCCCCATACAAGAGACCGCGACGTCCTGCATGCCGCCACCAGTACCGACGGCTGCTGCCCCGTGCGCCACAGGGGCGCTCCCGCCGCCACCTCGCGCGGCCGTTGCCCGTTGCAGCATCAGACTGGCCCGGAGGACAGCCACACGGAACACGATGCCTGACGTGGCCGCTGCCAGGGAGAAGAGGCCTTCCCCCTCTCGTTCATTCAAGCTGCGCGTGGCCCGCTTAGCTTCGGCCGGAAGAGGTGCGCTCTCGACCCGCGGACCAAAAAGGGAGAAGAGGCCTTTGATCGGGGCTGGACAGAACCCCCAATAGTGACACGTCGATTAGTGAATTGTCCGTTTTCGGTTCTCGAGAGGGCGCCGTGGCCGTCAGTTTCCAGGTTTTCGCCCGCCAGATTTGGGCCCGAGGTCGTTTTCACTAAACCACGTTTTGCTAAAGGGGGTTCTGTCCATCCCCGATTTGACTCATTAACCTCAAAGCGATCGAGTGTTCGCACGCGGGGTGCTAACGCTGCGCCCTCTTCACGACCCCGTGCCCAGCGCGCCCGCGGCCCGCCCTGGAGCTCAGACTACGACGCCCGGACGCCTTGGGGGGAGAGGTTATGTGGCACCTTCGTGGGGCCTGGCGCCGCTCGGCAGCTGCAAGGGGTGCGACTACGACAGGCCTCGGGAAAAAAACAAAAAAACAAAAAAACAATCTTCGTAGGGGCCTGGTCTGTCCGGCCAACTGCGGTCTTGTCTTGTGCCCGACGCAGATCCGACGCGGATTCGACGCGGATCCGACGTGTGGCTTCAGCGTCGATCTGATGCGGATTTGGTTTCTTCGACGTGGGATCGGCGCGGACTCGGCACGGACGTGTGGCGCGATGAGACACAGAAGGCCCCCCCCCCGAAGATGCAACGTGAGACAAACCTTTGACACCAAAGCGCTTGAGCGCTCGCAGGGTGGTATTACCACGGCGCCCTCCCCACGACCCCGTGCCGAGAGCGCCCGCGGCCCGCCCGGGGGATCAGACCGCGACGCCCGCCGATCTCGCCGCCCCCTGCCAGGCGCCTCTCGTGGGGCGTGGTGGCTCCACGCACTCAGCCAACAAGCCAGTGGGGGATCTCACGCGTGGCAGCCACGGGTGGCAGGCCCTTTGGGCCAGGTGCGGCTCTACACTGAACCCGACTCTCCCGCATGGGAGACGACCCCGACACCACACACCCGGCGCAGAGGCGGGTTAGTCTCTCGGGCCACGACAGTGGTGCCCTGACGTGCCAGGCTGGATGCACGAGGACGCAATGTACGCACTGGCCCCGGCCTGGGGCATGGGGGGGTGGGGGGGGACGAGGAGGAGCTTTTCTATGTGGAATATGTGTATGGTGTTATTTGTTTGTTATTCTTGGTTTTCTTTTTTTGCTATGTGGGTGTTGGATGTGTTTTTTTGTTTTTATTTTGTTTCTTTTGGTATTTTTTTTTTGTTGGAGAGAAGGATTTGGTTTTGTGTTTTTTTGGATTTTCTGTTGTTTTGTATGTTGGTGGGGGTGTTTTGGGTGCTGTCTTGGTGTTTTTTTTTTGGATGAGAAGGAGAAGGAGGTTGAGCAGGAGGAGGAGGAGCAGGAGGAGGAGGAGGAGGAGGGAGGAGGAGGAGGAGGAGGAGGAGGAGGAGGAGGAGGGAGAAAATCCGTAGCCATTTTGGCTCAAGTCCGTAGCGAGGCCCAAGGTCTGCAGCGGACAGCGAGTTTTTGGCACTGGGGAGCCTCGCAGAGGCAGCGGCCCCGACAGCGATCCGCCAGAGCTTTTCTGGTACTGCATTGGGGTTTCATCCCCCACTTTTTGCGCACTTCTACACGTTCGATGGTCAGCAAGGATGTTTTGTCGGGTCCCAAGGGACCGCGCTGGTCTTGCGGGAAATGCTCGCGGAGTGAGAACTGGGCGTCGAGGGTTCGATGCATCTGTGGAGCTCCAGCCCCGCCAGGCGTCATCCGAGCGGCCAAGGCCGCCCACGAGAAGGCCATTGCTGGCGGGGGTGGTCCCAAGCTGCCGCTGTCTTCGAAGTGGGCAGCAGGCCCACCCAGCACGCTCGTGGGCGGACAGAGTAAGGAGCTCAAGGATTTGTCCAAGATGGTCCAGACCATGGCCAAGCAGCTGGCGCAGCTCGCGCCCGCCGTGCCAGCTCCTGCGCCGCCGCCGTCTGAGGGCCCCATCGTGCCCGACCACGCCAAGGAGCTTCAGTCGCGCTTGGCGTTCTGGCGCAACGCTTCGAAGTTCGCCACGACCGAGGCCGACAAGCAGCTGGCTGACCAGAAGATTGAGGAGGTGCAGCAGCTGGTCACGGCGACTAAGCCGCCCGAGGCTGTGCAGATGCACATCTCGCAGCGCCTCGCCAGGGCCAAGGCCGCTGAGGCCAAGGCGCGTGGGGTGCTGGCGGCGCGGCGGGAGGAGGTCCAGCAGCAGAAGGCCGCGCTGGACAAGGAGCTCGAGGAGCTCGAGACGGCTGCTGCCCAGGCAGCCTCGGCGGTGCAGAAGCTGCAGGACGAGGCCAAGTCGACCTTCCAGCAGCAGTTCGGGAGCGGCGGGGCCGGCACCGTTCTCGATGTCGACGGCATCCCCAGCGAGCAGGTCGAGCAGGTCGGCGGCGGCTTCAAGGAGTGGCTCGCCGAGCAGCGGGCTTGTGGGCACCTGGAGAAGCTCGTGGGCATGCTGCAGGGGCAAGCTGCTGCTGCTGCTGGGTTTCTCGCGCACCTGGACCTGCTGCTGCGGAGTCAACGCGTGCTGGCACCGACGCCGACGACATGGAGCTCGACGAGGACGCAGCTGCAGCCGTCGAGGCTGCTGCTGCCGCGGCCGCCGCCGAGCATGCAGGGGTGGCCGACCCCGCCGAGCGCACGGCGGCCATCAAGCGGACCGTCCAGGCCGCACTCAGGGCGGCAGAGCTCAAAGGCAAGCGTCGGAAGTGCGGGTAGCGCTCAGCGGCGCCAGCGAGGTCGCCGCGGTGCCAGCAGCGAAGCCGCAACTTGGAGATTTTGCACAGTTAATGCCAACACGTGGTCGAGCATGACGTATCGCAATTCGTTTCAGGCTGTGTGCGACTGGCGGCTCGAGTCTTGCGAGCATCCAGCCCCTCATTTCTTCGCGGTGCAGGAGACTCGGAAGGGGGGTGGCGACGACGCTCGGTCGGTCGCCAGCTGGCTTTCGTTGAAAGGTTACAAGTCTGCAGTTACGCCATGTGTCTCCAAGGGCAAGGATCACGAGCTGTCCACATCGGCAGGGGTGATTGCGTGCGCAGCCAAGCACCTTACTGCAGCGGGGTACCGAGATTCCGACATCACAGGGCTCTCGGACCTCTGGCGTGGCCGCGTGGCTGCGATGAAGGTGCAGGCTGTTGTCCCTGGCGGCGTGTTCTTCCTCTCGGTCTATCTGTTCGATGGTCTGGGTTTTAGCGGCAAGAACGTGACGCTGCTCCGTAGCCTCGGCAGTTGGCTGTCCGATCTGCAGGTACCGTGGCTGATAGGAGGTGACTGGAACATAGCAGCCGATGACCCTGGTATGGCATCGTGGGTACAGAAGCTGGGGGCCACGATCGTGTCGACGGGCAGCCCGACGTGTTACCCTTCCACAGGCGCGGCACGCAAGCTCGACTTCTTCGTGATGTCGCTGGGGGTGGCTTCATGCGTGCAGCGGGTGCTGATGTTCTCCGCGGCGCCGACGGAGCCCCACACCCCAGTGGAAGTATGGCTGAGGGGGGTCAGCCTCAATCTGACGGTCCAGGTTCGGACCAAGTGGCGACCGTTTCCCACGCGCCTGAGCGTCGGCTGTCTCCAGGAGCCGCTCATGCACAACTGGAGCTGGGACGAGGGCAGGGCGCCGGCCCACCTCGGCTTGACGGCAGCCTGGCAGGAGTGGCTTGACAACATGGAGGCCGACCTCTGCCACCTGTTCGACCTGCGCGGCGCAGCTGGCGAGTGCTACCGAGGCAGGCGCTGCGGCTTCAAGCGCAAAGGCGTTCGCTTGGATCGCCTGGTCAAGCGCGCTCCGCTTGGGGCGTCCATTACAGCCAGAGCTTGGAGTTCGATGGCGTCGATCCTGCATCGTGCACGCGCGCTGTGGCGTGCGGCGGGCGAGGGCGCCGCTGCGGGTGCTGCCGCGGCTGGTCCACCAGCCGCCGACAGGCCGCTGGCGTCGCCAGGGCCATGTCCAGGCGTTGCATCAGGACCATGCCCAGGGCCATGCCATGCCCAGGGCCATGCCCAGGGCCATGCCATGCCTGCGGCCCCGCGGGCGCCTGGCGCAGCTGCCGCGGTTCGCCAGAAGGAGGAGCACATGGCGGCTTGGCCGACTCATGTCAGGCCGCAGGTGCTTCAGTTGTTCGACCTGCTGGGGCAGTGCGACGACGCGAGGCTCGGAGCCGAGTTGCTCGGGGAGGCCCAGCTGTCGTCGGCCGCCGTCTGTTCCGCGCTGCTCGCAGGGAGTACGGCATTGCTCGAGGTCGAGGACGCCGCGCGGGCCTTCGCTGACAAGGTTGGCAAGCAGGAGCGCACCAAGTCCTGGCAGCGGTGGCAGGCCTGGGCGAAGGACGCTGTGCTCAATGGAGGCCGTGCCGCGCACAAGTTCAGCAAGGAGCATGTGGCGCTGGAGGGGCCCGCAGGGGCACATGGTGAGGCGCTCCAGGGCGATGTCGCAGTTGACGCGCTGCTGGCCGAGTGGCAGGGCTACTGGCTCGACGGCAAGGCGCCGCTGGCGGCTTCCTTTCTGGAGGCAGCAGACAAGGTCACCCTCCCGAGGCCGAGCCTGGTGCGGTTGAAGAGGGTGCTGCAGCGCTTCAACCACAGCACTGGGTTGGGGAGCGACTGCGTGAACCCGCGGTCCTGGCTGCTCTTGGACGACAGCTTCTTGATCAGATTGTTGGATCTCTTGGAGCTGTGGGAGAGTGCGCCATCCTGGCCAGAGCTGTGGCCGACCTTGATAATTTTCATCGGCAAGGAGGGCGGCGGCCTGCGGCCGATCGCGCTGATCGCCAGCCTGCTGCGGGTGTGGAGCCGCTTGCGGCAGGACATCGCCCACGAGTGGGAGCGCGAGCACAGGCTGGCGGCGTTCTGGGGCGTGCGTGACAAGTCGTGCGATCGGGCAGGCTGGGAGCACAACTTGCTCGGCTACTACGGGCACTGCATCGGCATGGAGTCAGGCACGCTCTTCACTGACTTGAAGAAGGCGTACGGATACGTCTCGCACCAGGAGCTCGGCGAGCAGGCAGCAGCTGCCCAGTTCAACTTGAAGGTGATGCGTGCCGCCTGCGCCCTGTACAGTGGGCCGAGGGCGATCACTTTGCAGGACTGCTGCAGTGCTGTGTTCGCGGTGCCAGACGGCACGGTCTTGGCAGGTTGCAGCTTGGCCACGACGATGATCAAGGTGCTGCTGTATCAGCTCTTCGTGGACATTCAGCGGGGCCATCCCTCGGTGGTGCTACGCAACGTGGTGGGCGACGTTTCGGCGCAGAGCATCGGCACCGTGTCCCACGTCGGCGAGCAGCTGGGAGCAGTAGGCATTCGCTTGGCCAGTGGCTTTGCGCGCCTCCGCCTGCGTCTGGAAGTTTCGAAGAGTTTTTTCCTGGCCTCGTGCAAGGCCGTTGCTGATCGTCTGTCTGACGGATGGAGGGCCCTTGGGTTTCGTCGGAAAGGGGTTGCTCGTAACCTGGGGACGGACGCAGCGAGTGTAGGGCGCAGGCGGGCCCCGATAGCGAGGCGCAGGCTTTTCAAGGGTTTCCGTCGTTCCAGCCGCCTGCGCAAGCTTCGCGAGGCAGGCGCCAGGATAGGTTCAGTGCACCGCTCGGGGCCTCAAGCTGGGAGTCTGCGGGGGGCGGCGGTGATGGGTCTGACGGGTCGGGGGCTGCATAACTTCAGGCTCCAGGCGGTGCGTAGCCTTTTCAAGAAAAAGCAGACCTCTTCTGTTGGGCTCCGTTTGCTGTCTTGCTCTCTCGGAGCGCAGATCGACCCTGCAAAGTTGTGTCACGGTTCGGTGATCTTTATGTGGGCCAGGGCCGTCTGGGAAGGCTCCCCGAGCTTGGCGATTTTGCAAAAGTGTTTCGAGCGCGCCCGTTCCCACCTCCAGGCGTCGAAGAGCCGTTGGGGGGTGGCGTGCTCGCCTGCCCACGTCCTGCTTCTCTCCCTCTCTGAGCTGGGGTGGATGGGGGACTCTGCTCGGTTCTTCGTTTCAGAGAGAGGAGAGAGGCTGGACCTTCTGAGGTTTGCTCCGAACCAGGTCAGGATGCTAGCTGAGCGAGCTGCCTTAGCCCGTTCGGATGTGGTGGCGCTGTCTCGCCACCAGAGGTCGGGCGCTTGGCTCAGGCCGATTTTCTGGAAGCCTCTGCGTCAAGCCCTGGAGGGGAAGAAAAATGCTGTCTGGTCCGACCATCACCAGAGCGCTCTGAGGTCAATTGTCTCAATGGCCAGTTGGACCCAGCAAAAGCAGTTCGATCACGGAATCACCGAGTCTGGGACGTGTTTGGCCTGCCACGGCGATGCTGGAACGCTCTTTCATCGTCGAGTGTCGTGCCCTGCCTGGTCAGCGTGCCGCCGTGACCTATGCGATTCCCGAGTTCTTGCTGCGTTGAGGCAGGTGGAGTCTTGGGGTCAGGAGTGCGAGCTCGCTGCTTGTGGCATTTTTCCTAGTCCGATCGACCTTCCGCCTGCCCCGCTCTATTCGTTCGACCCTGAGTTTCAGATCTTCTGGGTTAATCGCCCTGCCTCGGGGCTCTTGAGCGGGATTGTCTTTTCGGACGGCTCGGCGGTCCACCCAGATTGTGAATTCAGCCGTCGTGCGGGTTGGTCATTAGTGATGACTGACGAGTGGGGGAGTTTCCTCGCCTGCGCGTACGGTGCTGTGCCCGCTGATCTCGCACCCGTCCAGCAGGCGCGGGATGGGGAGGATGCTGCGATATTTTTCTCATGCGTGTGCGTCCAAGAGCCCGTAGAGTTTTATATCGACTGCCAGGGCACGGTCGATTGTTGTAACTCGCCGTCGTTCGCTCTTGATTCGTCGAATCCTCGGGCCCATCTCTGGACGAGGGTGTTTCAGAGGTTTGACTCGGGCCTCGTGGCCCATAAGACTAAGAGTCATGCGACCCAGGGGGACGTGGACGCTGGGAGGACGACGGAGTGGGAGAGGAAGGGTAACGGCCATGCCGACCGTTTCGCCCGCCGCGGTGCGGGCTGTCACCCCGACACGACAGCGGCCGCGGCCGACATCAAAGGTCTGGCTCGGCTCTCGCGCGCTTGCGCTGTCTGGGCAGGGACCCAGGAGGTGACGATGGCGCAAGGCTCTCTCCGTGATGCGGCCGACCTCCCTGGGCCAGCCGAAGACGACGGAGGCCAGGCCAGGCGCGCCCTCGCGCGTTGCCTGCCAGGCCGCGTGCCTGCCGCTTCTCTCGTCTCGGGCTCCAGGGGCAGGTTTAAGTTCCAGAGCCCTCCTGTGACTGGCGGCGCTCAGGATTCCGAAATGTCGCTGCTGCTGCAGCTTCTTGGGCACCAGTTGCGTGTCGCGTCCGTGTTTGATGAAAACGGTGCCACTGTTCCCACAGGACCCAGGTGCATGGTTTGCATCGCCTGTGGTGGCTATGCGTGGGCCGCTGCCCAGTCACTGTCCAAGCCGTGTGCGACGAAGCCACCCACTAAGCACACGAGGCGCCAGCTCGCTCGGGCGTGGGGGGGGTGTCTTCCCGTCCTGGGGCGGCCCTTATAAGGGCTGGCGTCTCGGGCCTTTGTCGGAGCCCTCGGCCGCGGACTTGCTCGCCCTTGCCGCACCTCGTGGTCTCAGTGGAGCGATGGCTCGGTCCTCCCGCCTGCCAGTGCAGCCTGTATGGGGCCCCAGGTGGTCGCGCGAGGATTTGTTGAGACGTTTTGGGGTCTCGTCTGAGCAGCTCGAAGCTTGGAAGCTTTTGGAGCCAGAGTCTCTTTCCGATGACGAGTGATCGGATCGGGGGCGTAGCTCGGATCTCCCTGGGCTGGTTTCCTTTGTCTGTTCAGGCGCCGCTGACATTGTCGCGCGCCTAAGTCGATAGATATAGATAGAGGAGGAGGAGGGAGGAGGAGGAGGAGGAGGAGGAGGAGGAGGGGAAGGAGCAGGGGGAGGAGGAGGAGCAGGAGGAGGAGGAGCAGGAGGAGGAGGAGGTCCCCTCTGCGCGGAAGGAGACCGACGCCGCCCTCCGCAGCTCCAAGAAGGGCCCCCTCTCGGCCGACGACGCCTGCCATCGCACCGCGGCGCCCATCCGCGGCCAGGCGCCGATGGGGGACGCCTCCTCCTCCTCCACCTCCTCCTCCTCCTCCTCTTTCTCCTCCTCCTCCTCCTCCTCCTCCTCCTCAGGGGGGGAGGGGCGGACGCGGATGATAACAATAATAACAGTAGTCATATGCAACATAAGAGGAATAGTCATAATAAGATCATGCTCATAATAGTAGTAGTCACACGAATAAGACAGAGACCAATTTCATGAATGACAAGAATAATACTAAGACGCAGACTCGTACGAGTACTATAATCACACGCCTACTACTACTAGTACTACTAGCCTCATTCTTATCAATACTTTTACTACGGCTACGAATACGAGGACTAAGACGAACATAACGAACACTAGTAGTAGGAGTAGTAGTAGTAGTAGTAGTAGTAGTAGTAGTCAAGCTACCACTGGTTCTACTAATAGTTTTGCATTCGTGTTCACCACTTCGTAATATTCACAATGGTATTACTATGAATAGTAGCAGTATAATGCTGGCAATAAGAACGACACTTTTAACATGAACACATATAAGAAGACGAGTGATACTCTCAATGCTACTTGTGAGAATAGTCAGAAGAACCAGAAGAAGGAGGAGGAGGAGGAGGAAGACTGGGAGAATGAGGCCGAGGACGAAGACGAAGACGACGAGGAGGAGGAGGAGGAGGATGAGGAGGAGGAGGAGGAGGAGCCTTGGAGGCTCTGCTGCCAGCCACGCCTCAGTACGCGGCTCGGTGATGTGGCGCCGAGGGCGGACGAGGCCGACTGCTTATTCACTCTCCCTGGGTGCGTGGCTGAAGTGGGACTCCCCTGCGCGAATTCTGCTTTTTGTTGTTGTTGAACTCCCATTCTTGAATGAATACTTCTTGTTGATCCCCCCCCTCCGGTGACCATTTTTTTATTTCATTTTTTTTTTCAATTGAGGTGCTTCCCCCTGGGCTCGCACCCGGTTTTTATCAGGGAAAGTCACGGGGCGCAAACTGCGTTGTTGAAACCCGAACTGCAACAACAACAACAATAACAACAACAACATCAACAACAACAACAACAACAGCAACAAGAGCAGCAGCAGCAACAACAGCAACACCACCACCACCACCAACAACAACAATAACAACCACAACAACAACAACAACAACAACAACAACAGCAACAACAACAACAACAAACACAACAACAACAACAGCAGCAGCAGCAACAACAACAACAACATCAACATCAACAACAACAACAACAGCAGCAACAACAACAACAACGGCTCCCGCCTGATATTCTCTCGCAAATTATTCCCAAATTGCGCTCTCGTCCGGGACTTCCTCACAATTTGTATAAGGATCGCGCGCGCTCTCGCGTGGGACTTCTTCGCAGTACTCAGACGATGCGCCCTCCGCGCTCAGGAATCACGCTCTCGATTTGGTTTTCTAACGATTTACTTGGGAATCGCGCTATCGCTTGAGACTTCCTCGCGATTCATGCAGGACCCACGTTGCAGCAACCCGCCTGCTCGACCTCGTCGCCTGTGCCTGCCTTCCCGACCTGCCCGCTAGGGGTCTACCCACCCGATATGCCCGTCTGGTTCTACCACTTGTTTTCTGCTCCTGCCCCCTTCCTGCTAGTTTCTCTCGTGCTGCATTGTTTTCCCTCCCCCTTCCACTGGTCTACTCCTCCCTTGTTTTAGGGGCTGCTCTGAATGCACGTGGCAGGTGAGGATACCCCCAAGGGGGTACGATCGAAGACGACGAGGGCGGGTACCGAGGGTTTGGGATAGACGCATTGATTGGCACGTGGGCAGATGGGAGCGAACAGTCTTAACATGATTGTTGTTGTTGTTGTTGTTGTTGTTGTTGTGGTTGTTGTTGTTTTTGTTGTTGTTGTTCTTCTTCTTGTTGAACATTATTCCTTCTAAAGAATTATTATTGTTGGGACCCCTGGTGCGCGACCTCTGCGCCGCGCCTAGGCCGCAGCTACATTTTCATCATTTTTTCGCGAAAGCTTCAGAAAAGTGGATGAGCTCCGGATCCGGTTTTTTGTTGACGCTCGTTTTCCCTTGCAAAAAACAATAGAAAATGAAAATTCTTGTTTTTACTTGATCAAATTGCAAGAATCCCTTGCAAAAAATAAGGTAAAGTGGACATTCGTGCGCGCAAGACGAAATCCTTCCAAAACCTTAGGTTTCGTAACGATTTTAACATAAAAACATCAAAAACCCAATGGTTTTTTAAGAAAAAATTGTCAAAATGTCCTTCCGCGCGCGCTGTCCGAATCCCACAAAACCAATGGTTTTTCAACATTTATGTTACATGAGCTCGCGCGAGCTACTTTTTCTTGTTCTAACATAATCAAATTTCAATAATCCCTTGCAAAAAATAAGGTAAAGTGGACATTCGCGCGCGCAAGACGAAATCCTTCCAGAACCTTAGGTTTCGTAGCGATTTCAACATAAAAAACATCAAAAACCCAATGGTTTTTCAAAAAAAAATGTCCAAATTTCATCCCGCGCGCGCTGTCCGACTCCCACAAAACCAATGGTTTTTCAACATTTATGTTACATGAGCTCGCGCGAGCTACTTTTTCTTGTTCTAACATAATCAAATTTCAATACTCCCTTGCAAAAAAAAGTAAAGTGGACATTCGCGCGCGCAAGACCAACAAAAAACACGACGATCTCAGGAACTTGCCCCAAAAATGTGACCAACTCCGCTCTCTCTGTCTCTCTCTCTGTCTGCTCTCTGTCTCTCTCTCTGTCTGTCTGTGTCATGTATTGTATGTCACAATTGCAGGATGCTGGGCACACGCGCGCCCCGAATAAGTGACCAAGTTCTGTGGGTGTGTACCCCACGCCAGTGTAGTAGCCACGGTCGTCCGCACGCCACGAAGTGAAGTGTCCCAACGTCATAGGGCGGGAAGCTGGGTTTGGGTGGTCGCGAAGAGTCGTTTGGATATTTGGTAGAGCTTGAACTGGCCCCCCACGAAGTGGGGGTATTGTCTCGCGTTGCATGAAAACCCTGGCACTGGTGAGAACACTGAGCGTTCGGGTAAAATGATTATTGTTGTTGTTGTTGTTGTTGTTGTTGTTGTTGTTGTTGTTGTTGTTGTTGTTGTTAGTATTTTTATTGTTGAACTCACGGTTGAAGAACACATATTGTTGATGCCCTCTTTCCCGCGGCTCGCACCCTGCAGTTTATCACAAGAAAGTTCTGGGGTCTCAGGATTGGGAAATGCTCCCGCTTAGTATTTCTTCACATTTTTTTCCAGATCGCGCTCTCGCGCGGAACTTCCTAAGAATTTATGCAGAAACCGCGGTCGCGTGGGGCTTCCTTACAAACTATTCAGACGCCGCGCCCTCGACACTCAGGGGTCACGTTCTCGCTGTGGATTTCCTTACGATTTGGGATTCGCGCCGTCGTTCGAAACGTCCTCGCGATTCCTGCAGGACGATCGCTTTAGCAACCCGCCTGCTCGACCTGGCCCCCTGGGCCTGCCTTCCCGACCGGCCTGTTAGGGTCGTTAGGGTCTACCCACCCGATCTGTCCGTCTGGTTCTGCCACGTGTTTTCTGCTCCTAGCCCCCCTTCCTGCTATTTTCTCTCGTGCTCCATCCTCTTTGCTCCCCCTTTTGTCACTTCCTTCCCTTCGTCCTCTCTTCCCTTGCCTTAGAGGCTGCGCGAAATACACGTTGCAGGTAAGAAAGATATACCCCCAAGGGGGTACTATCGAAGACGAAGAGGGTGGGGTTCGATGATTTGGGATATACGTGTTGACTGGTACGCGAGCAGAAAAGGGCGAAGAGTCTTAACACTGTTGTTGTCGTCGTCGTCGTTGTTGTTGTTGCTGTTGTTGTATGCAAAACATAATGGTTGTTGATATCTGGAAGCGCTTTCGCCTCGACGCCGGCTGCAATTCCTGTGAAAACAAGGCTCCCGTTCTAGAGCGCGCTTGAGCCTAACTGTGTGCCCTTGGTCGCCCGGCTACAACGACAACGGTTTCCGCTCGATGTTTCCTCACAAACAACTCCGAGACACCCCGGCCAGAGAGGCCTCCGAGCTCAGGAACGGCGCTCTCGTTCGAGATTTCCTCGCAATTCAGTCAAGTTGGCGGAGGCCCAGCCACGACAACAAGGGTTCCTGCTCGGTATGTACTTCCTCATGATTTACTCCGAGAGCTCTGGCCAGGAAGACTCCCGAACTCAGGAACGGCGCTCCCGCTCGGGAATTTCTCGTGATTCAGGCAGATTGGCGGAGGCCTAACTACGACGAGAAGGGCTCTCGTTCGATACTTCCTCAAGATGTGTTCTCAGAGGCCCTGGCCAGGGAGGCCTCTGAACTCAAGATTGACTCTCTCGCTCGAGACTATCTCGGAATTCAGGCAGGTTGGTGGAGGCCTAGACGCGGCGACAAGGATTCCCGTTCTATATCTCTCAATCTGTATCCCAACGACAAACTGGGCGCGACGACAGTCTGGTTCGGGTATGCCCGAAGGACGAATATCCCAATCGTTCCTGTCTGAATCTCGCAATCGAAGACGAAGTGGGCGGGTATCGAGGGTTGGGGTATACGGAATGCAATCCACGCGTGCCAGTAAGAGTGAACAATCTTGAAGTGATTGCTGTTGATGTTGATGTTGACGTTGATGTTGATGATGATGGTGATGATGCTGATGATCATCAAGCTGATGATGATGATGATGATGATGATGATGATGATGATGATGATGATGATGATGATGATGATGATGATGATGATGATGATGATGATGATGATGATGATGATGATGATGATGATGATGATGATGATGATGATGTAGTTGTAGTTGTAGTTGTAGTTGTAGTAGTAGTCGGAGCAATAGTTGTAGTTGTAGTTGTAGTTGTAGTTGTTGTGGTTGTTGTTGTTGGTGGTGTTGTTGTTGCTGTTGTTGTTATCACACTTGAAGATCAATTATTGTAGATCCCCCCTCTGGTGACCATTGTGTTTTTCAATTTAAGTGCCTCCCCTGGGGCTCGCAC